TTATGCACAGGGAGAAAGCTCAGGGGGCAGGAGTGTATGGAGGGATAGACACTGGGAAGAGGTAATTATGGGGAGGAAGTAGGAGGGGAGCTGTTGCGTTGTGGTAAACTGTGGTCAATGATATGAGACAAGGTATATGCGAACTGTTGGGAAAGTGAATTTGCTCTGTAAATCTTCACCCAAATCACAAATAAATAAATAAATAAAAATTTATTAGTGCTCTTTTCTGTTAGTCTAGCAAAATCATGATATATTAGGTTTTATAAAAATTTGTTTGTTCTAGGGACAAGGTTGTAGTCACTTCTTGGTCACAGCCAGCTACCCAGAGGGACCGAGCAGTTGAACCTATGGGCTTGGGACCATAGTCACAGGGGACATCAAGCTCAATTGGCATAACATACTACATAAAACATTATTCCACCTCCTACTTTGGCGAGTAGTGACTGGGATCTTAAAAGCCTGCAAGCAGGCATCTAGATACAACGATGGGTCTCTCATCATCCAGCACAAAAAAGAATGAAGGAAACCAAAGATTCATGGAAAGAATTAGTCCCAGCGACTGGGACACCATGCAATCAATCCACAGCCTATACGACTATGAGACCAGAAGAACTAGACAGTACCCAGTTACCAATGTCAACCACTTGGAGGGGGGTCCACGTAGGAGACCCTGGATAGAGAGGGAGAACAAAGTGGAACAAAACTCAAAAGCATTTGGAAAAATAAAAAGGGGGACCAGGTTTGCTGGTCTGATAAGAGCCTGGTGGAACTACTGAGACTATGGCCCCTAACTGCCCTTCAGGTCTAGAATTGAACCCACACCTGTGGCTTCCAGCCAAACAAAAGACAGGCATAGGAGTTGAACATTTACCTGAGGTAAATACACTCCTTAGAGAGAACAATCATGGGAGAAAGAAGGGCTGTTTATGCACAGGGAGACAGCTCAGGGGGCAGGAGTGCATGGAGGGATGGACACAAGGAAGAGGTAACTGTCAGGAGGAAGTGGAAGGGGAGCTGCTGCATTGTGATAAACTGTGGTCAATGTCATGAGACAAAGTGTATGTAAACTGCTGTATGGAAAGTGAATTTGCTCTGTAAATTTCCACCCAAATCACAACTAAAAAAAAAATTGTTTGTTCTAGTGGTGGCAAAGGAGCTGTGATTCCCCCAATATTGTGTTCTTTTTTCTTCCAGATTCTAAAGTTACTCCTTTTCTCCTTTTTTCCCTTAAATATCCTTTAAATGGTTCCTACTGGACCAATGGAGCAGTGCTTTCCTGGGCACAAGTGTGTGGGGAATGGGCAGAATAATCTAAACAAAATGACTATTGTATTAAGAGTACTATTGCAAAAGTTTTGAGAATGGCAGATATGTTTTAGTTATAAATGTGGTAAAATTATTTCCCTCTTCCTAAGAATTAAAACCTTCCATTTAAGTTGTCAAAAATCTCAAAAACACTGAAAATAAATTATTCAACTGGCTATGGAGTAAGATAAGCAGCACATAACAAAGGAGAATCAAAAAAGAAAGAAAAATCTATACCAACTGCCTTTTTCCCCTTTACATGAATAAGTAGATCGTTTGTTAGACAAGGAAATGAAAAAGTTTTAGAAATGTATTTATTTTATGCCATAGAGAGTTTCTATGCTTAGGTTTTGTTTATGTTACTTAAGTTACTGGAGGGTGGGGGCGGGGGGAGGAAGATTTAAAGAACAGAAAGCATAAAGATACAGGTTTTAGCTTTTGCCAGTAGTCTAGTTTATTTGTGGGACCCTTAAGATTAATCATATTTTAAATTGTTGTTGTTATGTGCCGTCGAGTCAGACCCGACTCATAGTGACCCCTCCTTGGGTTTCTAAGGCAGCATCACTACGGAAGTAGATTGCCCCATCTTCCTTTGAGGAGTGGTTGGTGGGTTTGAACCGCCAGCCTTCTGGTTAGCAGGCAAGTGCCTTAGGCACTATGCTACCAGACCTCCCCATATTTTAAATATGACATCAAAATAATTCCAGAAATTATTACAGACAAGTGCTGTACTAACTCTTTTTATACTAGATTATATATATAATTCTACCTGTATTTTCAGGAGCTCTGGTAGCGTAGTGGCTAAGGCACGTGACTGCTAACCAGAAGGCTGGCAGTTCAAACCCACCAGCCACTCCTCAGAAGGAAGATGGGGCAATCTACTTCCATAGTGATACTGCCTCGGAAACCCAAGGAGGGGTCGCTATGACTCGGGTCCGACTCGACGACACATAACAACAACAACCCGTATTTTCAACATTTCAAGAAACTAGATGACAACCAAGGAAATTCAACTGACTAACCCCTAGAAAGTAGACAAAGAAAACCAACATGTTAAGTCATCTTAAAATTCCTATTATTTAACATTATTCAAATTACTAAATATGTAACATATTTACAAAAATCATCATAAGCTAATTAGCATGTTATGAACTATAGCAAAAAGGCACGCTACGATAATTATCATTAACCTTTTTTAAGTCAATCTCTACAGATCATTTCCTTAGGTTTCTGCAAGTTTCATTCATTCCACTCATTCTACAAATATTAACTCTGTTATGTGCCATAGCTCAAGGAATTGAAGATAAAACAGTGCGTGTGACAGACAGAAGAGTCCTGGCAATGCAGTGGGTAAAGCACTCAGTTGCTAACTGAAATGTCAGCAGTTTGAACCCACCAGCCACTCTGCGAGAAAAAGATATGAGTTAAGATTTACAGCCTTGGAAACCTACTGGGCAGTTCTGCTTGTTCTACAGGGTTACTATGAGTCCGAATTGACTTGATGGCAGTGGGTTTGGGTGACAGAGCTTATGGAACTTTCAAGTCTAGCTAGGAAGACAGAAAATTAATTATGTTATACTTAATAAGGTCTCCATAGGTTACAACTAACTTGATGGCACTAACAATACTATCATAATAAAGCACAATGAGTTTTTCACTGGGGAAGTTGTTGTTAGCTGTCATTGAGTCAATTATGACTCATACTGACCCCACGTGTATAATAGAACTGCTACATGGTTTTCAAGGCTGTGACCTTTGAGAAGCAGATCGAATGGCCTGTCTTCCAAGGTCCCTTTGGGTGGGTCCAAGGTGCCTCTGGGTGAGTTTGAACTGCCCATCTTTCAGCTAGTAGTTTAGTATTTAATTGTTTGTGCCACCCAGGGACTCAATAGGGAAATAGGGGGTACTATATGAGTATATATGGAACTCCAGTAGCACAGTGCCTAAAGCATTTGACAGCTAACCAGAAGGTTGGCAGTTCAAACCCACCAGCCCCTTCACTGAAGGAAGTCGGAACTGACTTGATGGCAGGTGGTATATAAATATGTAAAGGGATTTAACATGGAGTCTTTAATGCTTGGGCTAAGATTTGAAGAATGAGAAGTCAGTGAAGCCAGGGAGGTAAGGCAGAGGGTGTTATAAGCAATTTCACTGTTGGACTGAGAAAGCACATTCCAGGAACTGAAAACAGCAGTGTGGCTGGAAGCTTGCAGAGATAAAGCTGGAAAGGTCCACTCTGTAGAGGGTCCTTACGGACTCAGGACTTTAGCCAAGGGCCATCAAAGGGTTATAAGCAAAGGAGTGACAAAATCACATGTGCATTTTTGAAAAATCCCAGCAACAGTTATAGAGTGCCAATGGAGCAAGGTGGTAGAGTAGACTTAAGGGTGTAGATGATGGAGATTGGGACTCTCAGTCCAGGCTTCCAACCTGTATATTCCTGTTTGACTCCCTGCTGAGAACTTGCCCTTCCAACCTAGATATAATGAATCAGAATCTACATTTCAACAATACCCCCAGGTGATTCTTATGTGCATATATAAGCCTTCAAGAATTTTAGAAATGTTAGAATAGTTTAGGCAGTAGCAGTATAAGTGCATTATTATCTAAGGGAAACAAAGGTGAGCTGAGGTAACCTGGAAAGGAATCTTAGGTTCTTAAAAAACGGGTAGGTTTCAGATGGGGAGGAGCCCTGGTGGTGCAGTGTTTGGCTGCTAACAAAAAGGTCGGTGGTTCACCAGTCCTTTCACAGGAGAAAAATGTAGCAGTTTGATTCCATAAAAACTGCAACCCTGGAAACACTATAGGGCAGTTCTAGAGCCTATAGGGTTTCTGGGAGTTGAAATCGACTTGATGGCAGCGGGTTCAGAGGGAAGGGCCAGGTGCATACCAAGTCATTTGGAAAAAAAAAAAAAAAAAACTGGTTGAAAATAAATCTGGCAGATTGAAGATATACGTGGAAGGCTTTGAATGTTTGGCTGTGGAGTTTGAAATTCTTCCTCAGAGGAGAGTAGAGCTATTGACAATTTCTGGGCAAATGAGCATGCTCAGGTATATTGTGACACATAAATGGGAAGGAGAAAACCGGATTTAGCCTTTCTCAGTGCTCTGTTGTTGTTGTTATGTGCAGTCAAGTTGGACCCGACTCATAGTGACCCCTCCTTGGGTTTCAGAGGCAGTATGGGAGGCAGTATCACTACGGAAATAGACTGCTTCATCTTCCTTCCCAGGAGTGGCTGATGGGTTTGAACCGCCAGTCTTCTGGTTAGCAGTCAAGTGCTTTAGCCATTATGCTACCAGAGCTCCCATGCTCTAGGTGTGGCTAATGTAAATGTTTTCAGTGCGGATTAAGGGGAACAGATTTGGGAGTTACTACAAAAGAAACCAAGGTAGAGTTGAAATGACTGCCTGAATATTTGAGGTGGACAAAGGAAAGAGAAGGATCAGGGATGACAGAAGATTAGCTGAGGTGGTCTGAATAAGAAGGCTATAAGCTGGAAATTATAAATTTCACTGTCACACAATTTCTCTAGTAGGAGGCACACACAGCTAAAAGCAAATAGGACCAAATGATAACAATGGTTAGGAATTTAGGGGTAGCTGAATGATTACAATACTATTAGTTCAACTTTCCATAATAAAATGTTGAAAACAATTTTAAAAATAGCACATTACAAAAGCTAAGTCCTCCATACCCCAAAGACACCAGGTCAACGTTCTCTGGGATGACTTCTGGATCCTCACCTTCCTCAAGGCACTTCAGTTTATCAAGGCTTAATACACAAAACAAAACAAACAGAAAAAGAATCACTTTAAGGCCAGCCAGGCATCTTGTCCATAGCGTGTCAAGGCTGTGTCCTAAATACATCATTGAATAATTAAGAAGTCATGGAAAATGCAACAGGCGGCTGAGAGGCCAGAATTCAAGGCAATGATTTTTGTGACAATATTCTATAATGAAAAGAATATGGCCGATTGAAGGCAGTCGATACCGTTAAATGGAGAGAGGGATGGCTAAGTTACATTTTATATTTGCACCCCCAATACGGGACTTTTGGGAACAATTAAGTACTAGTATACCCGGGAGGTCCTCGAAAGAGACCACAATTAATCAAGGTTTTAACACACCTCTGATGAAGTCTCCTACAGCCTCACCATTACTCGGGTCCCTCCATTGTCAAAATGTCAACCGCAGGTACATGTCGTCATTACTGATTGCTTTTCTTTGTTAACAAGCACTTAAAAATGAGCTAATAAAAAAATTAATCTCTTATGCAACTCTCTAGCTTCTTTATGGCACAAATGTGCATGACATTGCGCTCACGGACTTCTTCTGATGTGCCTAAATGCGGAAGGCTCCAGAGGGTTAAAACCATTGAAGCGGCGATCTTCTTATCCAGGAGCTACACTACAGGCCCTCCAGAAGTAAGTCCCAGGGGAACGCAGCGTCAAAGATGCACCCCACTAGACCCCGCGCGACAGGAGCGCCTCGGCCCCGCACTCACCCGCATACTGTCCTCAGCTCGGCCGCCGCTTCCAGGCTGCAGCCCAGATCCAGGGCCACCGCTGCATCCTCCCGGGCGGAGTCGGAACCCTCACGGAGCAAGGACGCCGGAGGATCCTTCAGCGACAAGTCGTGGGCCCCTCGCAGTCGGCTACGCCACAGCTCCCCGAAGGCACCCACGTGGAAGGCGCGAGTGTTTATCTCGGGAAGCTCGTACTCTGGAAAGTTGCAGCCACTGCTACTGGGAACCGGCTCCTGCCTGCAGGACACCCCGCTGCACATTGGGCCGCCTCGGCTGCTTTCAGCCATGTTCACCCAGTTGCCTTCCCTGCTAAAGCCGGGCGATGGGGCCTCGCGCAGCGTGATGGGACTTGTAGTTGCACCGGACCCCATGGCGGGTAGGGCGGGGCATTATGGCCTGCGCGTCAGAGACTCCATTTCCCGACAACCCCAGGTACAGCCAGTGTCCGGGCGCGGTTGCGCACTTCTCTGAGCGCGGGGCTGAACGCTTTGTTCTCCACGCGGGGCGGGGCGAGGCGGGTCCAGTGTGGCTAGTCGGTGTTTGGCGCCAGGCCGGCGTTGCTCCCAGCCTTCGTGGTTACGTGGTAATGCCCTCTATCCTTCAGGACATCCTCTTCTTTCAGTCAGATCGTTGCTTTCCTTGCCCAAGAGGTGCGGCTGGGACGTTTTCTCGACTCCACGGTTCGCGAACTACGCTCCTGCATGTATCCCAAAGGCCGAGACAGCGGGAACGATGGACAAGTCCGGGGACTCTACCGCCTTTATCCTGTTCCTTCAGAGGCTATCCAAAAGCCCGATGCTTATGTGTATGTGCATATGTACACATACAGTAGTGTACCCTGAGAGCCTACTAAGTTTACATTATTAATCCTAATGCATCCGGTTGCTCTGATGCTGAACAGATTTCAGCTACCTTCCAGACTAAGTTGGGTTAGGAAGAAAGGCCAGACGATCTGCTTCAGAAAACCAGCTGTTGAAAACCGTGTAGATTACAACGATTTGATCTGCAACTGATCATGGCGTCCACATCCAGTCATTGGGATGACTTAAGAGTCAGCAGCATTTCTGTGTATGGATGTACAGTTGCTATGCTTGAGTGCATTGTTGCAGCCACTGTGTCAGTCCATTTCGTTTCCTGTTTTTTGCCGACCCTCTACCTTGTCTACAGACTGGTCCCTTCTGATAAAATATCCAAAGTATATGACAGGCCATCCTCGCTTCTAAGCAGGATTCTGTCTGAATATACAATTTTCACTCTGAAAACCAAACTCATTGCCATGGAGTCAATTCTGACTCATAATGAGCTCCCCATAGGGTTTCCAAGGGTGTAAATCTTTAAGGAAACAGACTGCTTTCTTCTGCCGAGCTGCTGCTGGTTTGAACTGCAGACCTTTTGGTTAGCAGCCAGCTGCCTTAACCAGAGGGCCACCGGAGCTCCTGTAACATTTCTGCTAGAAAGTCAAAAACATTCCAAAGATGAACAGTGTTTATAGAATAACAGTTTACCCTAAAACATGGCTTCTAGTCTGCCCTTGAAGTTTCTGTTGTTAGGGGACTTAGAGGTAGTGCTCATAGAGACCCTATTTATTCTTTGTCCAGCTTTTGCACTAGGCCACTGCAAATACCATGGCTTGGGGCAGGCGCACCTTGGTCTTCAAAGTAACCATCTTTGCTCTTTAACAAAGAGTAAAAGGTCTTGCAGCAAATTTGCCCAATGTGATACATCGTTTAATTTCTTGATTGCTGCTTTCACAGGAGTTGACTGTGGATCTAAACAAAAGGAAATCCTTGACAACTTCAATCTTTTCTCCGTTTATCATGGTGTTGCATATTGGTCTGTTGTTGTTGTTATGTGCTGACGAGTCGGACCTGACTCATAGAGACCCCTCCTTGGGTTTCTGAGGCGGTATCACTACGGAAGTAGATTACCCAACCTTCCTTCTGAGGAGTGGCTGGTGGGTTTGAACCGCCAGCCTTCTGGTTAGCAGTCAGGTGCCTTAGGCACTATGCTACCAGAGCTCCTGCATATTGGTCTAGTTGTTAGAATTTGTATTTTCTTTACATGGAGGTATAATTCGACTGAAGGCTAGTCTTCAAGTCCTCTTTGCTTTCAGCAACAAGATTATGTCTGCATATCACAGGTTTTTAATGAATCTTCCTCTAATCTTGATTCCATGTTCTTCATATAGTCCAGATTCTTGGATCGGTTATTTAGCATACAAACTGAGTAAGTATTGATACCAAGACTGAAACTGACTATATATGAATAATTCTTCAAAAGAGCCTAATGCCTAAGGCAAAATGGTTTTTACTAGTTTACCTAGATGTTTTGACATAAAGATGCCTTTTAGGAGACCATTTTCTTTAAGGCTCCAGGTTCGAAAGGACTCCTTTTAAAGGTGGCCTGTGTGAGTTACCTTAAACCTCCATGAAAACCAGAAATCTGGATTCTAGGAGAATTAAAACTTTCTCAAGTGCTAGCTCATGATGGTTTGAATTTCCCTGATGACTAATGATGTTTATCTTTTATGAAGGAATATCTATTCAAATCCCTTGTCCAATTTTTAATTGGATTGTATTTTTATAGAAGCCCTGGTATTTATCATTACATAGTTGTAGAATACACCTATTATTTGTCTGCCTAGCATTCTGTTTCTTAGAGCTGACTTTCCTTACTCCTTATAGTCTTCCTGGGGTTGCCATCTTAGAATCCTTCCCACTTGGACCACGGTGAATGGTCCAGACATGGGCAAGTGACTCAGCTAGAGCCAGTCAGAATCCTCCTCTGAAATTTTACCTTCTCTGGTAATGGGCTGAGGTCTTCTCACTTTGATGACCAAAGGATTTGCCCCCGTCACAACCTGTGTCTGTGGAAGGAATGCTTATTGTTGTTGTTATGTGCCCTCGAGTCGGACCCGACTCATAGTGACCCCTCCTTGGGTTTCCCCCGAGGCAGTATCACTACAGATAGTAGATTGCCCCATCTTCCTTCCAAGGAGTGGCTGGTGGGTTTGAACCGCCAGCCCTCTGGTTAGCAGTCAAGTGCCTTAGGCACTATACTATGCTACCAGAGCTCCTGTGGAAGGAATAGAGCCACAGATTTAAATACACGAAGGCACAAGATGGAGAGTGAAGTCAAGTGATTTGAAGCTTGTGGCTGAGGCCATCTTCTCCTCCAGACTTTCTATTATGTAAGCTGGTGGTTTTTCTTAAACTAGTTTGTTTTTTATTCTCTTCCAATCTAAAGACTAATAAACTTTGTGAGGCCTGTAAAATTTGGGCAAAATCCCTCAATAGGGGGAGCCCTCACTCCAGAGAATGTGGTCACCCTTTAGTTGGAAAAGCAACTCTTAACATATCTGGAGATTGAAACATTATTAACATATCTGGAGACTGAAACATTTGCTTAAGGTGTGGAGGCTACAAAATTTCCTTAGGACCAGGGAGTAAGGGCAGGATCAGAATGGGCACAGCCAGGAAGGGTAGATCACTGTCTCTGGGAGATGTGATGTGGAGGAAGGTGCAGCAGCTTGAGAAGCATGACTGCAGGGATCAGTGGGAAAGGATTAGTGTAAGTGCCAGCAGCAATCACAGTAATGTGGCAGAGTCGGTTGGGTCTAAGCAGCAGCAGCCCCATCTTGGGATGGGGCTGTGGCCCAGGCAGCTTTTGACCTTGTGGCAGATTTGGCTGAAGACAGGTGGTGCTCTGCCTGGTATTAGGATGGGACAAAGCAAAAATAATGTAGACATAGTTCAAGGTCCCAGGATGTGTGTTGTTATTTAATGTCAAGTAGGCTCCAACTCCAGGGAGCTCTGGTGGTGTGCCTAAGGCATTTGACTGCTAACCAGAAGGCTGGTGGTTCAAACCTTCACCAGCCATCTTCCCTTCCAAGGAGCATTCTGGTTATATATTGGCCCTATAACTCTGGGTGAATTCTCTTCATGAAGGAGAAAAAAAGAAAAGGAAAAACCCCCTGAGATTTCCCAATTGTGGATGTTAGAACCAACCCCTAGAGTGAGGTGGTGGCATGGAATTTCAAGTCACTAGCTCTGAGTATTGGTACAAACTAAGAAGATTGTTCATTTTTATCTGATAAATTCCCAACTCTGCTCATCAAAGGAAGAGATTAGGAATTAGGAAATAGGGAGACTAGGTTTGCCTTTGAACATTATAAGTTTGCTTCTCTTGGAAAGCTTCCAGGAGGTCAGTGGGTGATAAAATAGCAGAGATGCTTACAGGTGGGACTGTGCAGTGATCTACTGCAATGGCTATGGAGCAGGAATGCAGGGCTTGTCTGCCAGAGCTTCCCAAATTTCAAAAGAAGCCAGATATCTAGATTTTTTTTTTTTTAGAACATGTAATCTGATGGTAAAATGTGGCAATTAATTTATACAAAAATTAAAATCATTATTGAGGCCAAACAAAACACACACAGGCATCTGGCATGTGGCCCACCAGATTGTGATCTCCAATCTATTGTATCTCTATAAACCCTCCAGCTTCCAGTGTATGTAATTCATATGTGCAATTCTTTCAGTTTGTTTTCCAAAGTAATTCTGCTACTGGCCCAAGGCCTCTTTTCATGAATTAGATTATAGATACTTGGGAGTGTCACCTGCGATTGAAATCCCATCTACTTTCCACCATTTCAATGTTGATTTCCAATTACCACCTAATCCACTGCCATGGAGTGGATTCCAACACATAGCAACCCCCACTGGGTTTCCAAGACTGTAAATCTTTACGGAAGTACATTGCTTCATCTTCCTCCCTTGGAGCAGTTGGTGGGTTTGAACTGCCAACTTTCTGGTTAGCAGCCAAATGCCTTACCCACTATGCCACCAGAGCTTACCATCTAGTTCTCTTTAATGTTTAAATCTTTTCAATAGATAGATCATTTATTTTATTATTCTCCTCTGGCTTTGTTTTAAAGAGCCCTGATGGTGCAGTGGTTAAATACTCAGCTGCTAACTGAAAGGTCAGTAGTTTGAACCCACCAGCCATTCTGCAGGAGAGGGATGTGGCAGTCTACTTCTGGAAAGTTTATAGCCTTAGAAAGCCTATACTTCTACTCTGTCCTATAGGCTGGTATTCGGTCTCATGGCTTTTGGTTCCCCAGCTGGTTGTCTTGGCCAGTTGTCTCTGCTGTCTTTCTGTGAAGGAGGTCCAGCTCAGGGATCTTCAGTCCAAGAAGATCTTGGGTCCAAGAACACTCTCCACTCCAGCTCCAGTTCTTCTCTCTTAATGCCAGTGAGATTCCCCTTCTGCCTGTAGGAGGGCTCATTTT